ATATCGGTCGTGATATTTCAAACACGGCTAACCGCAATTACCAAGAAGTAAATTACAGCTCCCGAGGAGTGCATTGACTCCCTCCCCTTGGAAACCCGTATTTACGAGTACGAACTCGTCTTTCATAATTATTTTTAGAAATAGTTGTTTAGCCCCGTTTTAACTACACGCAATATTTGGCACGGGTGCCAGTTTTATCCATACCCTACCAAATATCGCGCGTAGTGTAAACGGACTTTTATCTCCTTAGAACAGCTATTTATGTATTATAAACAAAAGGATCCCTCAGCGCTTCGTGGGCATAAGGTCTCTTATCAATTTTATGATTCATCAGCCATGACACAAACTTTCGAGCTTTCTTCAAACCAAGTTTCTTCAAATTCACCGAGTTTCCTTTAGAAATATTTTTCATTCGATCTAACTTAGATCCAAAAGGGTGTTCACCTTTGGTTAAGATGAAGAAAGCAATCATACCCGCTACCTGGACATCTGATTTCCTTTTGAAACGACACTTCTCATTTTTTTCAATGGCTTCAATTACTTCTGGTGGCATCCATCCAGGAGTACCTCTCACGAATGTTACAACTGTTGTTTCTTCGTCATTTAGAATGCGGCTTATCCCAAAGTCTGCCAATTTCATGCGACCTTCAATATCAACCAGGACGTTTGATGGTTTAAGATCTCTGTGCAATATTCTTTTATCATGAAGAAATTCAAGTCCTGATAAAATTTCCCTAATCATTCGTGGACCACGCTGTTGTAGATGTTCAATACTGGATGCATGAACAAGTTCCCCCAAGTCTTCTTCGCAAAGATCAACAATAAGATACATGAATATGTCGTCACAGTGAAAATGACGATAGTGCACAATAAATGGACAGTTGTTCGTTTTAATGAGACTCATGATGTCTTTTTCGTTTTCAACAGTTTTCAATTTTTCAAATTAAGAAGAGTTGTATAGTTTAAACCCTCCTGGATTGCCTCCGTAGTTTATATTCCCAAAAAACGAAAATTAAATGCGAGAAATAAGGCAAATTCCTGAGCCTACTGCTTTTTTTGTCCTAGCAACGCCCATAGCAACGATTGTTTTGCCTAGAAATTTGCATAAAAAGCCGGGCTTGATCGAAATTTGTTGAGGTACCTTAGTTGTTTTAACATGAAGTATCACAGCTACATCTGTTACTTGCCTCTGGCCACTTTTTTCAAAAACTGAAGGCGCATCGCACATGTAAACTTTCCTGTTGGCGAAAACATATATTCAAAGCTATTCCGAATTCTTCTGTTAATTATTCAAACATATTTCTGTATATTTTTAACGTCTTTGCAAGTAATCTTTATTTACGATGCCAAGAGAAAGTTATAGGCCGAAAAAGCGCAAATTTCACAGCAATCAGTTCGTGAAAGGTGGCAAGAGGAGTCGTGTTGATCTTGATGACAAAACATGTGGCGAGCCATCAACGTCGTCCAACAACTTGTCTGCCTCTGCCAGAAAGCTTGGCAAACAGAGTTCGGCAAAACCTGAACGTTTTGATAGTCAGTCAAATCAATTAAATGGGTACCGTTTTGTTGATATGGAAGTCCTTGGAGAATTATTTCAACAAATGGCTTGCAAGGAATGTGGTGGTTTTTCTTGTCTGGTATTGGAAGACAAACCAACTGAAAGAAAAGGAAGTGCCTCCCATCTTCGCGTACGATGTGAAGAATGCGGTTGGGTTTATACCTTTTATACGTCGAAGAAAATACAGCATGGTTTTGATGTAAATAAAAGGTTAGTCTATGCTATGAGGAGTATTGGACAAGGTCATGCTGCTATAAAACGTTTCTGTACCAACATGAATATGCCCTCTCCGCTGGGGTACACTGCCTACAGAGATAATAACATTGCCTTGGCAAAGGCAGCAAAGTCGGTGGCCACAATATCAATGCAAGATGCTGCAGCTGAACTTCAGAAGAAATCTGAACCATTTACCAAGTGTGCAGTGTCGTGTGATGGTACATGGCAGCGACGTGGTCATGCCTCGTTACATGGTTGCGTGACAACATTGTCAATAGACAGTGGGAAATGTTTGGATGTTGAAATTTTATCCAAGGTCTGTCATGGATGCCAGAAAATTGAAAGGGAAGAAGATACTGTGAAGAAAGTTGACCTACAAGAGAGGCACAAATGCAAAGCCAACTACCAAGGATCAGCACCATCGATGGAAGTGGAGGGAGTGAAAAGAATTTTTGAAAGAAGTGAAGAGACTCGCAAGCTGCAATATACTGAGTATTTTGGAGATGGGGATAGCAAGGCATATCAAGAAGTTCAGAACTGCTATGAGAACATTCATATTGAGAAGAAAGAATGTGTTGGGCATGTACAAAAGCGTGTGGGCACTGCGCTAAGGAAGTTGAAGAAGGAAAACAAAGGAATTGGTGGCAAAGGTAAGCTGACTGACTCCCTGATTGACAAACTCCAGAATTATTATGGCATTGCTATTAGAAGCAATTCTGGGGATTTGTCAGGGATGAGGTCAGCTATACATGCAAGCTTTTTCCACTGTGTTTCCTCAAAGAAGAGAAACTTGCATAATCATTGTCCGGATGGACCGGACAGCTGGTGTGCCTTTAAGAGGGACCAAGCAAACAACACAGCCCTATATAAGCCTGGACTTGGTCTTCCAGACAATATTATAGCATTAATAAAACCTATTTACCAAAGGTTAAGCACTGATGACTTATTAAAGAAATGCTTAGATTGTAAAACTCAAAACCAGAATGAATCTTTAAATGCTATGATCTGGAACAAGTTGCCGAAAGTTACTTTTGTTGGTTCTGATGTTCTCAAGTTTGGAGTGTATGATGCAGTGGCTCACTTCAACATGGGTTCTAAGGCAGCTGCAAAGACAATGGAGGAATTGGGTTTGGAGCCAGGATACTTCTTTCAAGAAGGAATGAGGAAAGCTGATAAACAGCGAATTGCGAAAGCTGATCATCGGACGAAAAATGAGGTGAAGAAGCGGAGAAAGGTATTGCGAGGTCAAAAAAAGAAGAAAGAGGACAAAACTAAGGAGAAAGAGGGCAACACATATGAGGCAGGGGCTTTTTGAATACAAACTGTATCATAATTCAAGATAAATAAGAAATTTACAGGTATCAACATGTTAATAAACTTCTTATTCAATTTAAAATGCATTTTTCTCGGATATGGCGAAACGCTGTGTATATTTAATTGTTCACATGATATCTTAAAAACTATTTAAGATATCTTGATGAAATTTTCACAGTGAGGTTAGCATACCTTGCTCTAGGAGGTAAACCTAAAAAAATTACTTTATCATTAATATTTATCAAGTTGTGTTTCAAATGGTATACTCATACCTCTCGATTTCTAGTATTTCGGCTGCAAAAAGTGTATTATGTAATCAATGTTGATAAGCAAGGTTCATCTTCTAGCTAATGTTTATAGTAAGCAAATAAAAGTTATTCCAAGTTTTTATCATCTATACTTCTCCAGTAATCAAGTTTATAAAATTACCCGCATGTCACCATAGGGGGTATGATATCTTGGTAACCATGGCAGCAGTGTCTTCAGCAAATATATTTTTTTAGTCAGAGTACCCTACCAAACAACATACTTTGAATACAGTCTCCCAGTATTAAAAGACAAAAAAAAAATTTTTTGCCTGTTGGACCCCCTTATTAACTGCAACTTCACTTCCATCATTCATGAGACCAACATAGACACAAGAAAAACCACCATCGCCAATTTTGAATTGATTCTTTGCGACAAAAGCTTGCATCGGTATTTTAATCTATTTGAGTAAAAGATGGTTATTAGATGGAATCACCTAAGCCTTAAGCAAATGGGGCTTAGGGGAAAAATCTAATCGCGTAGTCCGAATCTGGTTACAATTAAGTTATATTGTGCAAAACAAATATAAAAGGTGCTGCCGACTGTAAACTTCCTTTTAACCTTTATGATGCAAAACTCATTAAAACAACTTCATATGTGTTTGAGAAATTACCTTTTCTAACTGGTTGAAGTTCGTTGTTTTCAAAGCATGAATTTTCTCACGATGTTTTACGGACCTTTTGAGAATAGTCGGAATTTCATCATGACCAAGGAAAATACTCCATTCAAGAAGACTCATTTGCTTTCCCTCAACAAGCAATTTTCCACCTCTCCACACAACGATTTTTTTTTTGCAACAGGAGATTGACCAAAGCAACTGAATTGTTTACAACAGCCATTCTCATGATGTCAGTGCCAAGAGTATGAGCGCTGATTTTACTTTCAAGTGTTATATCAGCACCCTGCTCAACTAAATACTCGACAATTTCTAATGCACCAGTATCGACAGAAGCGTGGAGGGCGGTCCATCCATCAGCATCCTGGCAATTTACGTCAGCACCATGTTCAAGTAAATACTTAACAATTTCCAATTTACAAAAATAGAAAACATGATTCAGAACTCTCCACTCAGCAGTATCCTTAGCGACCTGTTCAACTGAATATTGGAGATCTAGTGCACCAGCCGTAACAGCAGTGTACAGCACTGTCCACCCGTCAATATCCCTGCCATTTACATCAGCACCATGTTCAACAAGATATTTTATCATTTCTGGCTGACCTTTAGTAACAGCGCTGTGCAGCACTGTCCACCCATTAGCCTTCTTGCCATTTACATAGGCACCATTTTCAACAAGACATTTTACCATTTCTGGCCAACCATTATTAATAGCACTGTGCAGGACTGTCCACCCGTTAGTATTCTTGCTATTTAAATCAGCGCCTTTTTCAACGAGGTATTTTACCACTTCTAGCTCACCTTGAGTAACAGCACTGTGCAGAACCGTCCACCCGTCACTATTTTTGCAATTTACATCAGCTCCATTTTCCACGAGGTGTTTTACTATATCTAGCGTACCTTTAGCGACAGCGCTGTGCAAGACAGTTCTCCCGTTAGTATTCTCACCATTTACATTAGCACCCTTTTCAACAAGATATTTTACCATTTCTAGCGTCCCCTAGTAACAGCATAGTGCAATACTGTCCATCCGTCAGTATACTTTGCATTTACATTAGCGCCATTTTCAACAAGAAATTTTACAATTTCTAGCGCACATTTGGTAACAGCATTGTGCAGGACAGTCCATCCGTCATCATCCTTACCATTTACATTAGCCCCATTTACGGTAAGGTATTTTACTATTTCTAGCGTACCTTTTTCAATAGCACTGTGCAGCATTGTCCTCCCGTTAGTATTCTTGCCATTTACATCAGTGCTGCTTTCAACAAGACATTTTACCATATCTAGCGTACCTTCAGTAACAGCAAAGTGGAGCACTGTCCGTCCATCATTGTCCTTAGAATTTACATCAGCACCGTTTTCAACAAGGTATTTTACTATTTTTAGCTTACCATTGGTAACGGCACTGTGCAGGACTGTCCACCCGTTAGTGTTTCTGGCATTTACATCAGCACCTTTTTCAACTAGGTATTTTACCATTTCCAGTGTACCTTCAGTAACAGCAGTCTGTAGAACAGTCCTACCTTCAGTGTTTTTGCCTTTCACATCAGCGCCCTTTTCAGCAAGATATTTTACCATATCTAGTGTACCTTTGCTAACAGCATAGTGCAAGACTGTCCATCCATCAGTATACTTGCCATTTAAATCAGCGCCATTTTCAACAAGATATTTTATGATTTCTAGTTTACCTTCAGTAACAGCGTTGTGCAGCACTGTCCACCCGTTAGTATCTTTTCCATTTACATCAGCGCCATTTTCAACAAGATATTTTACCATTTCTAGCGTACCTTCAGTAACTGCAGAATGCAGCGCTGTCTCCCCATCAGTATTCTTTCCATTTAAACTTATCTCTTCCCAGACGTTTGTACTTCCACTTGCCTATTTATCAGAACAATGCTTGGTAAATAGTACAATTTGAAATTAGTAAAATTTAGCACAATTTTAAATTCACATTACATTATTTTTGCATGTTTCCTGAATGCTGATTGCCCAGTTGTATATACTAGAGTGATTTTTATTGGCTATGAGCCAAAGTGCAATTACAACTTGGAAGGGTTGCCAATAAAATTGCGGCATTTTCTAAAAATTACAAAAGATATATAATTGGTGAAACTACTGTACTCCTCTTGACGAATTAACGTCCAGAAATTTTGTCATGTTAATATTAAGACGATAAGCCGAGTATTCAAAGAATGCAGAGAGAACTTCCACGTTTCGAGCAAGGAAAGTTTTTGACCTTTCTTCGAATTCTTTGCTTGAAACGTTGCAGTTTCACGTTAGCGGTTTGACGTTGCCGTTTTTGCAAATTTGACATTTAGTTAGCAGTCATTTATACGATTTTTACGATTCAAAATTAGCATGCAGTGAACAGTTTCGCAGTTAAATTGCAGCCAGCTATTTCTAATGCTTCAATTTTTTTAAAATCAAATGTCGTTTACACCTGGAAAAGTTGAGAAGAACCTCCATTTTCTTAACCGACTATCGACTAAAGGGAACAACGATATCATGGTAAACCGCCATATATTGCCAATCGTGTTATTAATAAATGAGCTACGTGAAAATACACGTCCAGCGCGGTTAATTAAAAACGTGAACCGCAAACGTGAAACGGCAAAATTTCAACCTCAAGCCACGGTTTGTGGTTAGCGGTTGAGGACAAAAGTCAAACTAATTATAAATCTCTCCATAATATAAAATTTCATACCATTATGACATTTTTCGTTTTCAATGCTCTCTCCACGAAGTTCTACTTCAATTCCTTTTTGTTCATTAACAACAAGCTTGGATTGTTTATTTCCCAACGCAGATATATAATCTAATTTTCTGAAGTTGCTGTACGATTCTTTTTTGTCAAAGTTAAAGTTATGTCACTCTCCTCACGCCGGGATATGATAACATTATCATTTTCCGTGGATTCAGTCATTCTCATCTTTGAGCATAACGGCTATGCCTAAAACAATTCAGACTTCATATGAAAATGGCACGTTGCATGTGACCTTTATCTAAAAAGCAAACTTCTATTATTTAATTTTTAAAACCCATAATAGAATTTTACTAGAAATACATACATGAAACAACCCCTCGTCATTTCAAACGAAGCGAAATATTTCCTAAGCCAGAACTCAAGCAAAGCTAATGATTTATGAAATGACTCGAATGAGTCGAAAGCTCATAAATGTTTCTATTTTGCAGAAACCAATACAGTCATAAAAGTGAAGTAAACATCGCCCGTTTTCCCACAGCATTAAGCATTGCCAAGCAATTTAGTCCTTATGTATATTGTCATTATTAACTGCAAACACACAGCAATATTTTAACAGATCAACCATCTTGACATGTTCACAACAATTACTACATTAAATGAAATTAACTTAAGCTGGGCTCTGAAGAGGAAATTATCCTCTTTTATTATATGGATGGGGGTATTAAATAATTTATATAAATTAGAACTAAAACACTCGTAGAACTCGCCACTATAAATTACACAATGTGCGCTAGAAATTGTAAAATTTCTTGTATTCATTGCTGTTGTTGTGAAAATACAAATGGTCTTTGGCTCGTCATATAAAACGGAATTAACGTTGGATATATACAAACAAAAACAATTGAAAGACATCTTTAAATACGTAAAATTTATTCTACTTTAATGTTTAGGCTTATTTATTGATTTCTGTATATTTTGGTCACTCATGATCTAATCTATATAATAAACAAAACAATGAAAACATTACACGGTTCGCTCGAGGATATGGAATTTATGTTCTCTTGTCAAAAACAATTTCTCACGAGTGAGCGCACCGAACGAGATTGACCCATTAACTGCCTTTAAAAAAATCATACCATACAATATTCTAAAATAAAAGTGACGAGACAGCATCGAAACTGTCTTTGAAGAATAGTTTAGCTACAACACCGCAGGGCAGAAACTACAGGCAATATGAATTTGATACCTGGTTGCCATTTAAAAAGTGTGGCGAGCATGTCATGGTGGCGGCCATCTTTAAAACCAGGAACGAGGAACCAGGAAGGGGGGACGGGGGGTGAGAATCACCGGAATCTATAAAACCCGGATTGAGAATCTCCGGAATCTTGAAAAGCCGGAAGGAGAATCTCCGGAATCTTTAAAAGCCGGAATGAGAAACGCCGGAATCTTTAAAAGCCGGAATGAGAAACTCCGGAATCTTTAAAACCCGGAATGAAAATTTCCGCAATCTTTAAAACCCGGAACGAGAAACATGTAAACAGAAGGAGCAATAAGATAAATTCCGTTCTGAACAAGTTTTGTCATTCGATGTCAACTTTTTTTCCATAAAAACAGTCGATTTATGAAAAAATGAGCCTGTCTCTTGAATTCTTTCGTTGGAATTTTCCAGATTCGGCCAAAAACGTGAAATAATTATATTTGAATAGCCATGCTACTTCGCACACAATTTGTTAAATCAATGTTAAGTCTAAAATATCGTGAAAATCAAGCATTATCGGAATGCTGCTTATCCAGGCGAAATATTGGACCATCACCGAAGCCGTATTTCCTCTAACAAATGCCTTTTCCTTCGCCTCGTCGTCGTCCTTGTCCTCGCTGTCTAACCAATGAGACAGCCTCGTTCCCGGCGCTTTATTAGAAAACATAAAGGCTGCATTCAGCGTAATATAGAGATCTGTGGCTAAGATGTGCGAGCGCGCAGGGGTGCTTGGGGAGGACCATCGCGAAAAGGCATTTGTTAGAGAAAATAGGGCTTCGGTGATGGTCCAATATTTCGCCTGGATAAGCAGCATTCCGATAACGCTTGATTTTCACGATATTTTAGACTTGACATTGATTTAACAAATTGTGTGCGTAGTAGCATGGCTATTCAAATATAATTCTTTCACGTTTTAGGCCAAATCTGGAAAATTCCAACGAAAGAATTCAAGAGACAGGCTCATTTTATCATGAATTAACTGTTTTTATGGAAAAAAAAGTTGATATCGAATGACACAAGTTGTTTAGGACGGGATTTATCTTATTGCTCCTTCTGTTTACATGTTTCTCGTTCCGGGTTTTAAAGATTCCGGTAATTCTCACTCTGGGTTTTAAAGATTCCAGAGATTCTCATTCCGGGTTTTAAAGATTCCGGAGATTCTCGTTCCGGGTTTTAAAGATTCTGGAGATTCTCGTTCCGGGTTTTAAAGATTCCGGAGATTCTCATTCCCGGTTCCCCGTTCCTCGTTCCTCGTTCCCCGTTCCTTGATTCCTTGGCTGATGTGATAGAATATTTCTATGTCTGTGCAGTCAACAATTGCCGATTTAAATTCTGAAATAATGAAGATCAATTTATATTTGAACTATTTGTCACGGGTTTAAATTACTGTTCACGACACATTGAATGGAGATGATTAAATGGAAACCAGCCTTAATTGCGGTCGTATATTCAAGCATTTCCAATCACCGTCACAACATTCGCTTTCGAATGACATCCGGCAGTCACACGGCTACGAATTTGCGAATATGAAACCCTAAATTTAGGGCCCCTACCTCAGGATAACCGCTTTGCCGGTTGATTCTTGGCGAGATAGATCGTGGTCTCTGAGTTTAGCGTGAACATAGCCCAAGTCACTCATGAGTAAAATTCGTCTAACGTGGTAATCGATAAAGTCTGTTTTGATTTTTAAGTAATTAGACCATTAGACCACAATCCTTGCGCAAATGCACTGCATTTCACAAAATTTCTGATGGATTCTGAGTACTGTAATACTGAAACAAATTATTGTTATATTATTACCCAAGGTTATTTATCAATTTCCTGGCTTCAATGGTTTATACCCAACAACATTAAAGATATGTTAAATAAAGATCTTTGTAGTCTACATTCCAGCAAACCTACCTTCATCGCTGACTATCTCCGCTGCCGTCAGTGGTGTATATTCGTCATTAGCGTTCTAGCGTGCTGCTGTGATGCTCATTTAAAACGAGGAAAAAACCTTATTTATTATGAAATTTCGCAACATTATTTAACTATAAAGGAAAGAATTCTTTTAATATTATCTTGCAATTATAGGCAATTAGCTACAATAAGGGTTTCCACAATGCAAGGAAATTTCCTTTGAAAACCACAAGGGTAAGAGGGATCTGTGTTAATAGGATATATTATGCCTTCTTTTCAAAAATTCTTTGTCTCTCTTTTTTTCATTGTTGCTACCCCCTATGAGGACAGCCAAGTTGTGGAAACCCTGACCTAATGGGTTTTCTCCTGCAGAGAGATTTATTTGCCAGCGAAATATTAGCATATTTTCTTTGGAACTGAGAGCAGTCAAATTGAACAAATTTTTTTATTTTGGTAAAATGCCACCAGTTATTTTACTTGAACACACACTGCTTCTTGCAGGCCAAAAGTGTACTCTTCTATTGGATATGATAGTTAACGTTGAGAACGCTAACCGGCAGTCATCTTGTATCTTGCATCATATAATCATTTTTACATAGCAAAGGTACAATACACAAACAATATATTGATATAAACTGGCACCCCCTAATTACACTTTTTGCTAGGGCCCTGTGTACAGTTGTCACAGCGGATTTGGACCTGGCTGAAAATGGA